TACTCTCATTTCTGGTTTTTCGCTTTAAATTAGAATTCCAAAAAACGTTACTAATTTACATCTTTACCTAAACTTCGTGCAGCCTTGATCCTGCTCTTGAGAATCGGCATTTGTATCGTCAAAAGGCACATAAAACGTACACCAACACCGCCACCACGCATTTTCAAGTCCACTTTAACTTTTTGTATGGAATTCTAGCAAAACTCTCTAGTGTCGATCGAAATTGCAGTGGAAAACTGGGCATGTCGCAGTCTCTTCCAAAAATGTTACAAACTTTAGAACCGCCACCAAGATAAAAAATCCGCACTACATATAATCTACAATTTATTGATTTATGATAACAAACAAATTTAATATTAACCATTCTGCGCAACGTCTCATGTACCTTTTCTAGTAATACTCCAGAACTAGTCGGAGATTGCGTACGGATATTTCCTTCTTCGGTTAAAGGCGATTAAAATCAAATTGCTTGAAAATGAAAACAATCTATACTATTTCTGCCAGCAGCTACTACCATAACAAATATAAATGGCGACAATTAATTTTTACTTTTTTTCGTCTATTCGAGACCTTTTGACCATTTTCTCAAGGAAACAATTGGCATCGTGGACTGCAATTTTCACTCTTGGCCATCGACTTTTTGACCCTTACCCGACGTGATTGTAGATTATTGCACTATAAAACTAGCGTCCTACCAAAACAGTAATGATTACGCATCCTCTTTTGCCTGGTGCTGAAGTCAAAGCTGCAGTACCTGAATTCAGGACATGTCTTAATTCGACGGGCGAAAATGTCCAGCCAAAAAACTCACCATCACGATTCCAGTATTCACATCATTCATCAAAGGTATCGATTAAATCGTCCTCCACCTTAAGCCAAACCAAGTATTTACAGCAAAATTGGTGGGCGAACTACTACTAACCTCGACATTAATTCTGCCGCATTGGTCATTAACGTCCACAACTCATCTTCTGTAGCTTTATGGTAGTTTGAAGAGATTGTGGGTTTTTTAGAACGGGAAAAATTCATTTCATAACACTCTCCCCCTTAAAATCAGTTATCGATTGAAATCTATTTCACTTCTTAGTTAACAACAAATGGCTTCCCGGTACAAGGTAAGCATCTATGAGAAGACGTTTGCGTAAATTACGCCAAACTCGACTCGGTATAATGGTCGTTTCATGCCTTAAGAAAAATGTACCAAGGGACTTTCTGACTTGGAATTTTTGGTTTTTAGGGGCGTTGCACGTACTTAAGAATTTTTCATTTTGGTTGCTTTCATTGCATAACAGCTGTGAATGCGAGCTGCTGAATGTTAGTGACATCAGCAGCCAAACGCTTGTTATCTTTTAACTTTTTAAATAATACATTGGGCTCAACTCATGTTACAAGAATAGACTACACATTTTTGGTCCTACTAGCTAAAGGCTTAATTGTAATATTGATTTCTTGCGACTCTTGTACACGCGGCTCTTTTTCTTTTTAATCCGCTGACGGTCTAGAGACGATGAAACCCAACAAATCAATAAATTGATCTCGTTTTATTACACCGTTACCTCCCAGAACGTTCTACTGCCATGCCAATCTTAAGAAATCGTGATCTCCAATGATCCCTTTGGTGCTTGTACGTACCTACACATTTATGAAAGCTGCCAGTTTAGGTCATTCGTAGAAGCTGCACGTATGAAGGGCTGCCTCTCATTTACGGTTTTTCCAAAGACTTGCAGTCATTTCGCTTCCCATAATTTCTTAATAGTTCGTTTGATTATGTCATCAGGGCTGTATACCTTCACTGACGTCCACTGTTTATAAATTAAAAGAAGCTATGATGACCGACTGTCTCCTTAGCATTCCTCATCAGCTATTGCACTCTTCTTATTCTTTGCGTCATATCCTCCTGACAACACCCTATGGTGAGCAAAGTATTAACACGTGCAGAACCTTGATCATCCACAGAATCCTGTCAGTGGTTAGAAATTCTGTCACCGTGTCCGCTTGGGATCCACGGCCTCGGATCTGACACGAGGGTTTTTTGTTTCGCACTCTCCCTCGTCAAACGTCCAGCGTGTCGCTTGTGCTTCCCCCTGCCTTCTTCCCTCGAGCACCCCTGGTAACCCTTTAAATCGTAACACAATAGTTTCCTTTCTTCGCGATTAAAAGAATTCGTATATTAGAAGAGATCTATTACTTTCCGTCGTTGCTTAATTACTGAGTAAAAAACTCACTTTACTGCACAATGGTAGCTGACAGACCCTGTACATAGTTTCGTTAATGTTGGTCATCCTGTTAGATTGGTAGCCCCGTTTGAAAGGTGGCTCCATCTTAGCGCTGTCAGTGTCAATGGAAATTTTCAAAATGGGCGATTTGCGATGAAAATTATATTGTTGGTTATGGTTTGGTTAATGTAATCCTATTATTTACGATTAATGCGTAATAATCTATTTTTGGTTTACCAATTAATTATGATGGCGTGGAGATCCCACGGAAAGTCGAACTCTGACATGGTACAACAATTAAGAGGTATGGTTTCCAATAAAAGGAAATGAGAATTAATTAAACAAATTTAAGCAAATGGCATTATTAAAAGTGATACGGTGGAGAGTGCGATGTTGGGGGTGGATCGTGGTAATTTTTGTTTAAATAATCCTTACATGGACGCACCACAAGGTATCGGGTATGGTGTCACTATTAGCGCTCCTCATATGCACGCACACGCTCTAGAGTTGTTAAAAGATAAGTTAGTTGAAGGCGAACAAGCTCTCGATGTCGGTTCCGGTAGTGGTTATCTTACGTCATGTATGGCGATTATGCTTGGCAAAACTGGGTAAAAATCATACATTTTCGAGAGCAAGGTTTATATTTTGCCTTTCAGTTTGGCAGTTGGTGTAGAGCATATTCCAGAGTTGGTAACAGTCGCGCTAAGAAATATTGAAAAGAATAACAAGGATTTGTTAGATTCAAATCGTGTAGTCTTAAAAGTAGGCGATGGTCGACTTGGTGTGCCCGATTTGGGACCTTATAATGCTATACACGTAGGTGCGGCTGCACAAACAGTACCACAACCATTAATCGATCAATTAAAGGTAGCTAATTAGAGTTTGCGCACTAATAATGGAGATACCGTTGTAGATTGGCGGACGTTTAATCGTACCTGTAGGCCCCGCAGGAGGAGATCAACAACTCGAACAAATTGATAAACTAGAAGATGGCAGCATAAGACGTACACCACTTATGGGGGTTATTTATGTACCACTCACCGATAAATCCAAACAGTGGGCGCCTTGGCGTTGACTGGTTTTTACCCCAACCGTCGCTTTTATCTTATATTTTAAACTCTAGTCAGTTATATGAAACTCCTGTATTAAATTGCTGTGAATTTTAAGGAATGACAAATTTTATTTTAACGTTATTGAATGAACCGTTTTTGTGTAATAAAATTAACCATAAGTATGATCTTTGCTTTGAGAAGTGGGTAGCGAATATGTTTGTTTAATGGTGAAAATTGTGCTAAAACTAATTTTAAGGCATCATTTGATTAACCACCTTAGTCGTTCTCCATTATAACGTTATAAACGCCATCAAAGCCTTTTGACTCTGATTGTGCATCTCTTGGTGCCTTCAGAGCTTTTGGCTGAAAAGATGGCAAGAAAAAAATTTATGCCTAAGCAGCCAAGTGTGACACAGAAAAGGCTAGGTGTCACCATGCTGCATTTAACGTCATCATACTCTGCTAATGTGCTTTTCACAGTCTTCCAAGCAACGTATGTCTTGTAGACACCTTCAAAATTCTCTAGGTAGTAGGTACTGTCTCTATTTGGGGTTATATTGCTGTTTTTTTCGACACCTGAGTGCATATTAGCTGTCATGGTCGAGAATGGGCGTTATGTGAAGTGAGGAAGAGACTAAAAGTAGATGTGGGCACGTTTT